ATTTACTCCTATATAGTTCTGAAAATCAAAAAATGTTCTTTAATTTTTTGTTCCGAACGTAGGAGCCCACGCGATCTGTTATTTCCTTGCAAGGAATCTCCTTGCGAGGAGACTGTACGGTAACAGTAAAAACGTACAGATGTCGCTTTACAATTAGCAGTTACATAGGTTTGGTTCTTTCTTATCGACGCCTTTAGGTCATATTTTTAGGTTACGCCTTTATGTTATGCGTACATAATACACGTATACAACATTTCATTTTCCAATTATCTTTTTTATCAGAATACCGTTTGCGACGTAAGACGATACCATTAATTTCCATCGGGTTGTCGATATTGTTCGAAGAAGGCGACGGAGTGTGTCCGATTCGCGGAAGGGAAGACTCGCGATCGAATCTCTCATGGCAGATGTATATTTAGAATTTCTATTGCACCGTGGCATTCCAGATTCCTCCTAGTCTTTCGAATACCTCCGCTATTTATATCCCCTTTTTGAAGTTGCGGTCCGATTCGAATGCACGTTGATTTTTCTTTCGCGCGAAACGGAAAGATAAAAGTCACACATATCATGCGCCTCACACCTCGACCGAGGCGATTTGTAACTTTTATTTATTTCGCTTCTAGAAAGGAGACTAAACAATATTTTATTAATGTCCCACGTTTTCCGAGAGATCGCGTAACCGAGAGATATCGGGAGAATTAATGTCGAAGGGGATGCACGTGTCGGTGATTTAGGCGGCACGGCTTTTTTTTAATGGTCGAGAATCGCGTTGGAAGAGAAACGGTGCAGCCGCGGTCTAACTGGAAACGGAAAAGGGCAATTCACCGTTGAAAAGTTTTGCTTCTCCTGCTCCTTGCTGACATTTCTGACACATGCTGCTCCCGATGACACGACGGTAGCCGAGCAGCCACCTCTCTTGCGAGAGTTATCGCGACTGAATTTCATCGTGGAATGTTGACCCTCCGGATGGGAATACTTGCCGGCGACTGGCGCTGGCGCTACTCAAAGGCGCTGGCGTCAATCCGCGCGACCGCTCGAGCGACCACGGCCAACCGGCTGGCGCACCCGGCACCCGACTTCAAACAAGTCCACCTTACGCTTTGCCCGTTTCTCGCCTGGTCTACAGTCCCCGACAAAAAAGAGTAGCACACTTTAAATCTCACCAGATTTTTATTTATTTAATCTTTGCAACCAAGGTTATATTGCTAAATTCTACAATTTCGCCAGTCAAACGATTCTATGCAAATAAAAGGAACTTTTATTATTTATTATTATTATTTATTATTATTATTATTATTTGTTATTATTATTATTTATTTTATTTATTATATATATATACATTGCGAACGAACGAATAGTATTTAATGCTTAATATTTCGTGACTTCCCCTTTACGTTTAAATAACAGCCAGCGTTCTCTTTGGCAATGATTTGTAGAGATTTCTTTTTTAAATATTCTTTTGCTCTAATTGCTCCCATTAATTCTAGAATATAATTTTTTGATTTGACAATGTTTATGAATTATACGCCATTTCCGTATACAGCTCGGTCAAGATTTCCTCAACAATTTTTAATAATGTTAAAGCCGTTTGACCACGGTGACCAATCCAATACGCAAATTTTTTCTCGCAGCGTATACTCTGCGACATTATCCTGCTGAAAGATCTACGTATCTCAAACAATTTTGGTGACGCATGTATTTATTTGTACCCTTAATCATTTCCAAATACGCATTGCTATTCATTTATGATGTTATAAATTGTTATAAATTTGTTTCGACTGACGAAATTCAGTTCTATTTTATTTGCTTACGTTTATAACGATATTTTGCAAGTTTCTATAAAAATAAAACCATCGTTGTAATGTTAAATAAATAAACATTACGTTAATTTTAAAGTGTTCTATTTTCTTTTTGTCGCGGACAATCTCAATAACAGTGACCAATCGGAGAGTGAGCACTACCGGCGCTCCGTCCTTGCGACCAGTGGCGCGTCGCGCTGACCGTCTGACGCAGCGGCGGAGATCGCGAGGGCGGAGCGCCAGCCGGTCTTGCCTCTCATTGGTCATTGCTTTTCGTTAATAACTCGTAAACAAAGCCGCGGATTGCATTTTCGCTAAGGAAAAAGTTACTTCAATTGACCTCAGGAATCCCTCTTGGGACACTCTCTGTATATAAATTACACATGAAACGATGAATATATATTAGAATTTCCGAAATTTTATTAGCAACATTAGAACCTATTAGAATTACAATAGAAAATTTATGAGATTTGATATTATTAACTGCTGAAGGTGTCTTTAAATTCTTATTTATAACTTTAGAAAAACTCAATACTGAATTAAGTAATGAGTTTCTCGTTGTTATTAAAGAAAAAATATCTAAAGGAAGAGATGATCTTCACCGCGACCTTGTGTACGAAAAATTTTTCTCTGCGGTACGATAAAATCAGAAGTTTATAACGACATTTCTACAACACCGAAAAATATGAGACAACGCATTTGAATCGCATGTGCTAATAACAGTGATCAAGTTATGAGGAGGGCTAGAGAATTGTTCATTAATCGGTTACATAAATGTATCAAAGTTGACGGGCATTATTTTAAACACCTGCAGAAATAAATTTTCCTGCGGTGTTTATTTATGTGTTATGTGCGGTGTTATTTTACCATTCACGCCAATTACCCTGCTTTCATAAATTTTTCGCACCCAAGTCACACGAAGGTCATAACATTATAGGTCTCGACATACATCATTATCTTGGTATGTCGTTACATTTAAAAAGCTTCGATGACCTTGAAATCTCAGATGACATAACCTTGAACAAATCTTTTTGGCAATCATAATATTTGCCCCTCCGAGCCAACCAATGTTTTCTTCTGACATTTTCCTCAATCAAAATCAGTCAAAAACAAGCGAGATATTTTAGATGCTCGAATTAGGCAGGACGCTCTGTATTTAACAACATTTTAAATTGAATAGCATTTCTAAAATTGGTCGAAACAACTTAAACTTTTTTGAAATGCTAGACCAACTGGTTTTCTAGAGAATGAGTGCATACAACAGTATTTTAAATTGCGATTGGTTGGAATGATGCAAAAATTAAAAAAAAGATTTCCCAACTCTTTTATCTCAAGCTATAACGAAAATTTAAAAAGAGAATGCGTTTCACAGATCTCGTTAACTTGTATACACGCATGCTGAAAACTGCATCAAAATCGGTTGACGCATAGTCAAGCTACGGACGCTGTAAATTCCTGGAAAACTTCTATTTTCGCGCGCTTTACGTGTTAACAGTTCATTACAACGTCAACAGATTTTAATGAAATTTTCAGCATGTATACACATAAGTCTCCAAGATCTACGAAATGCATTTTTTAAATTTTATAATATAATCTAATAATAATAATAATAATAATAATATAATAATAATAATAATAATAATATAATAATAATATAATAATAATATGTATGCATATATTTTATATATAACAAAAGTAATTATTTAAACACATTACAGAATCACATATCAAGCCAATCTCGTCGTGTCGCAATTACAAAACATAAGCTACGCAATATAGATCCGTGCCTACGCTGTGCCAATTCATACTAATCTATATTCACATTAATCACGTATTGATTAATTCGAATATACAACAGCCTAGATACTGGAAATCGTTTCGGGGAATGCGAAACAATTCGCATTCTCATATTATAAAATACGATTTCATTTGTTGATAATTAAAATGTATCTTGTGTACAACAGTTATGGGCGACCGAAATAAAGATCTCGTCACTGATGATTATTACGAGTGACCTAAGCAGAATTTCCCTCACTGGCAACCGTTTCGAATAACTTAGATAATATTCCCTTCGACAAAGATTATTACTAGACCGCAGATCTTTTTGCAAAATAAAAATGATCTTTACCAATCGCATCAAACATGGGTCAACCAGAGATTTCTTTCTTCCTTTAATGACTTCAGTGAGCTAAAAATAATACGTAAACGTCCTTGAATTCTTTCAATCGTTTCGTTGTTTGAAATTTCATCTACCTATTTCTATTTTAAACGCATGAAATTCTTCGCCTAATTATTACGTACAACTGACTGAAACAGAATTTCGTTCATCATTGATGATCACTGGTATACTTATTTTTGGCTTCTGGAGTAACCAAGTATGTATTCGAACGGTTTGACAGTTTGGAAAATTACAGATTTATTTGTAGCAACCGATATTCAATCAAAAACCCAGCGATTGACCAATATCGCAACATGTAAGCAGATGAAAGATCACGCACGAATGAAGATTCAAATTTTTACTTTCTTTCAATGTACTTTCGTAAGAATATTACGAAAGAATTGTGAAGCTTTTTCCGATGAAAATGGATCCAAACACGACATTGTTCGAACTTTCTTCGATAATATAATTTTTTTGTAACACTACGTATCAATAAAAGATATTCGATTACACAGAAATCCCTCCACTGCTGAAAATATCGTCACAAAGTAGAAGCGTAACGCAACGTATTTTATACGAAATACACGTATAATATAGAAATTAAATTATTAAGAATCAAACTTACATTATAATTAACTACACGTGGACAGGTGTACTCAATGCACGGGTAACAGGGATCTCTAGCTGCTACCAATAAATCTGTAATTTTCCAATCTTGTCGGACCGTTCGAATACTTATGAGCAGTACTGTACTTCGTTCTAAGATATAGTGAAAATATAAAAGAAATCTAAATAATATAATATCGGTTACCACCAAAAGAAACCTGTATATTTCTCAACTTGTGGCATGCCCAAATACTTTCGAGCGTAACTAGAGATACATAATTTTGAAAAGTTCGATGGAGAGAGTGGACGAGGAGAGCAATGCGTCGCCAGTGGCGCCCCTGGCGGCGATCGTCGCAGACGACGGCTTGGCGGCGACGGCCATGTTTAACAATCTCCCTTGTGTGTTTAGTATGCTGCGGTCGGTGTATCGGCGCGCCGAGACGAGACGGACGGGGCGAGACGAGCGACGGCGGCGGCGGAACGAGGAGGTGGAGGAAGAGGCGGTGGAAATCGGTGTGTGCGCTCATGACGGAGACCTCGTGCGTACCAGTCGCGTCGTCGAGCGGAGCCGAGCCGAGTCGAGTCGTGTTACGGCCGTAATCGCAGTTGTTCCTCGCAACAGTTTGCCTCGTGACGACGTCAGTGTATCTGCCTGCGCGCGCGTGGAGACGAGTACGAGAGACAAGTAGAAGAGTGGTAGAGAAGAGGTCGAGACAGTTGAAAAGATCCGAATGGAACGGGACCGATCACCCGACCACGCGCACTAACTTTTTTATCTGCTGTCGTTTAGCCGTGTATTCTCAGTCGTTCTCGTGGTCGTAGTCGTTGTCGTGTCGCGTTGTGAAAGATTTTAAACAACCGGATCGCTCTACGCTCTCGTGCGACCTCTCTCGCCCTCCGCGAGTTATACATATATCCGTGGCGCGCTACTCCTCTCCTACTCTCTTTTTTCGCGGTGTGTATTTTTCGTGTCCCGTCGCGCCTCCCCCCGGCCCTATCGTCCGTCTTAGTTTCGCGTTATCCCTTCTCCCGTTAGTGTCGGTCTACGCGTTCTCGCTCGCTCTCCGGGCAGCGATTTCAAGAATGTGACAGTGCGCGTCCTCGCGGTCGCCTCGCGCGAATAAGCCCGCAGGCCGGCGACGACGATGGGTGACGAGCGACAAGTGTGTTACGGTGTACAGTGAGAACAGTGAGCTAGAAAGAGTAAGAGAAAGAGGGAGAGAGAGAGAGAGAGAGAGAAAAAAAGAGAGAAAGAGAGAGAGAGCACGAGAAAGAAAGAAAGAGAACAAGACAGACGATGCAAGCGGAAAATGTCACTCGGTGATACGCGCATACGGATGACGGGGAGTGATCGACGCGACAATCTCGGATTTGAGGTTAAAGTGTCGCCGTCGACTTCGTCGTCGTTGTTATTGCTGTTGTTGTCGTTGTTGTTGTTGTTGTTATGCGGTGCTGGCGCGCCGGCATTGGCCACGGTACGGGCAAAGGAGTACCAAGAACGAGACCGGCACCATCCTCGTGTCCTTAGGGGCCTAGACGTCGTCCACCGAGATTCGAAAGATACTGATCAAGCGGTGTGGTACACCGTGGCCAGCAGAGTGATCTCTTAAGCCTTAAAAAGGGTCAGATATCCGGCGATCTAACTCGGACCGAGTTATTTCGTTTTACCGCGCGCCACGCACCGAGATATCCGTGCACTCTGCAATAGTAATATAGAATAGGGCGCGCGCGCTCGCGTGTGTGCGCATCGCAGGCTTGTGTGGCAGGTCGCGAGGTTAAGGCGCCGCCTGTCGATACACAACGTCAGAGGAAAGTCAAGAACCGGTGTTGTGTGTGAGCGCGGCCGATTCGTGTTGGTACATGCAACGGATAAGTGTATCGTGATACTATTAGTGCGCGTTCGGGAACCTCGCCGTCGACCGTTTACGTCCATGGACGATCCACACTGACGTACGCGTACCTTCGTGCCTTTTCGCTGCTATCGTATTATGCGCCGCATATGAACGTCACCGAAAAATAATCGTCGAAAACAACCATCGAGCATATACACACATATATACACACACACACACACACATATATATATATATATATACATATATAGATATATATATATATATATATATATATAGATATAGATATATATTCCGGCTGCCGACGGTCGACAGTGTCATCGATTCGATACGTCCTCGGAACGTTGTCACGGCGCCGTTCGATCGGTTCCAACCGATTCGATCGGCTCGTCGACGCGGAACACAGAATCAATTCGTGGATAACCGCGGGAGATAAGCGCGCCTGGATTCAACGAGATCGGACACCGCTAATCGTACAGTTTATTGTACGCGGATCAGCGCGCGCACGCTTACTGGCGTCGTCCAATCGACTGGCCAGGCTCGTGTGTACGGTGTGGTACATAGGTAAATAAGAGTTCAAGGTTACCAGACGAGACCGACCTAACCTGGTTCACGCGTTTGAAAAAGATATCGGCGCGAACAACACCGCGCGAGGGTAGTCGATAATCCCGTTAGCCCAAGTTAAAATTCGGCGTCTCTCGCCGAGCGGCTCGTAATTTCCGAATTATCCCCGTTTTCGAGAAGAAGAAGAAGAAGAAAATCGAAAGGGAAAAACGCGGCATTTTCACTGTGGTTGTTCGTCGTTCGAAAGCTCCGAAACCAGGGGAGGCGTCTGCAACAGGGAACTGTCACACTATTTCGAGACCGTGACCCAAAGTGCGCGAAGCTACACGGAGGGAGTGTAAATAAATATATACGTGCTGGCCCCGTCAGAAGACTCCGGGGACCCTCGTTGTGTTCGTCTGCAATTATTCGGTCAGGCGGTCGTATATGTGTGTTTGTTTGTTTTCTCGTTGACAGTATACACAGAGGGGACACGACGGTGTATACGTGAAAGGTTTTTCCGTGGCAAACGCCACCGACGGATTGACGAGACAGAAGCAACAAGAACAGGGACTGGCCTGGAAAGCCGCGGAAACGCGGGGAGAGCGAAGAAGGGTGGAAGAAGGAGGAGGAGGAGGAAGAGATCGCCGGTGTCCTCCTCCGGTGTTCGCGGATCGCTGGCGTAGCGAGCTGCGACGGTGTCGCGTCGGGCACTGATTCCCCGAATATTTCTATTTGTTTTCCGCGCGGCTACGTTAAAAAGTACTGGCCCCCAAATGCGCGTACCGCAAATCCTGTTTCATGTTCATGTTCTGGAGCAAACGGACGGCGCTCACTAGACGTCTCCTAAAGGCCAAGGTCCGTGGAGAGCATGAAACCGAGTGTGAAGCTCAAGAGGATTCGTCACGTATTCATCGCGCAAGCAACACGAGCAGCACCGACAACGACACGAGCAACGTGACAGCAACGACGGGCCAAACAACCAGAGGAGCGCGTGGAGCGTCGTCAAGAGGCGCAGTCGGCGGCGACGGCGCCGGAGGGAGAGGCGGTGGCGTTGGCGGAGGTGGAGGAGGAGGGGGAGGAGGAGGAGGTGGAGGTGGCCGTATTTCGTCGAGTAGACTGCATCAAGGTTGCTGCGGCGGCGATCAGAGCCAGGACGATGACGAGGATCCCGTTCGTTTATTAAGGTGCAAAGAGCTCCTGAAGTCGCTTAAGGAAAATCAGCTAGAGATGTTGCTCACCGCCGTCGAGAGCTGCGGCGCCGATCTCGGCTCGTGCGTTCTCGTGCCCCGCCAGCGTCCGGAGGATGCCTACGATCGTTCGGACCAACAGCAACAATACTATCGTTTCCATCGGTTCAATTACCACCATCATCACCACCGTTATCATCACGCGCATCATCACCACCACTACCATGCCCGGCATCATCGTAGACATCATCGTTCCTCCTCGTTGGAGAACGACCACGAGGACTACGAGGACGAAGACGACGATCAGAATTCTGGCTCGGAGGACTCGAGCACCTCGCCGATCAGGCCGGAAAAGTGCAGGGTGCCCGCGCGAGGTTCGCTCGATAACGCGCCGATCGATCCTCACCTGCTCTGCTGCCAGATTTGGCGGTGGCCAGATCTCACTCACTCGTCCGAGCTCAAGAGACTTCCTGTCTGTCATTCCGCTAAAGACCCCGTATACATATGCTGCAATCCTTACCACTGGGGCAGGCTCTGCAAACCCGGTGAGTAGCACCTACAGCGGTCTCCGTAAAATTATATGCAGGTTCGAAGTAACTTTTACATTGTGGCCGGTAATTGAAGAATAATCGACGACAAAAAACTGTATTTGTATATTTCTACCTTTTATTATTTCTAATATAGAAATATACAAATACGATGTTTTCTTGAGTTTTCCCTTTCTTTTTCGTTTTTTAAAATGCACAGGTCGCTCAGCCAAAAAGAGGGCCACTTACGGTAAACGTAAAATAACTTTTACGTTTTTAATGATATTTCAACAAAAATGGTAATCTTTATAACACGATTTTTTTCTCATATTGTTAGCTCGTACTTTTTAGTTTTTGCAAAAATGTTCAATAGTTGTTCCGGTTGTATGAAATCGTTAAGAATACTTCGAATGAATTATTTGGGTTTCTATTGTTCCGAAATTTCTCTTAATATTATGACAACAGTGCAGTCGGAGAGTCGACTGTACCTGCAGGATACGGAACAAACATTACTACACGAAAATGATACATTTATATCTCAGTTGTATTTATATTTTTATATTATTATCCTTCTGCTAGAAAATGCTAAAATAATTTCAGGGAATAATGTATGTAATTATACGTACGTGAGTTATATTTAAATGAAGAATATTTATTCGTAAAAGCTCTGTACATTTTCAATGTGAAGTAATTTTTCAAAAATATTTCCATTACAAGATTAAGTGGGGTTAAAGTGGACACTGTCGACGATCGTACAGACGCGCTCTTTTTTTTTCCTCTCTTCTGTGAAGGAGCATGGGAAGAGCGCTGGTAATTATTGTCTATTTTAAATGTGTAATTATAGAATAATAGAATAACAATTCTCTCTTTTTACAAATCTTTCTCCGGTAACAACTCGCGCGCGTGCGGATATTTTTTGGGTCTTCTTAAATTGCCGTTTTATCAGTTACACACTTTACATATAATAATAATAATAATAATATATACATATATAAATTATATATGTATATAATATTTATTATAATTATATATGTATATATAATCATTAGTATATATTTATATATTAAAATGAAAAATTTTCGATTAATATGAAATGAAGATTCATTTATATATATATATATAATGATTTTCGTGATTTTATACGGAAACAACTTACTGCAACAATTCTTATATTTCCTATACGATTTCTTCAAACGTTTACTCAAAGCGGGCCAGAGGACCGTCATCGAATGATTAATTAAAAAAGTTTTAGAACTATTTCATAGATTCTATTTAAAGCACATACCATGGAGTTTCGTTAACTGTTTGAGGACGAATCCAAACTTGTGTGTGTGCCCATCTGTAATAAACAAAAATCTTTTGTAATAAACAAAAACTTCAATGCAAATTAATTGCCTCGAAATAAAAGACTGATTTTATGATTATCATTTTAATTTAATATTTTTTAATAATATTATTTTAATAATATCATAATATATATTATTATAATATTAATATAATATAATATTGTTAATAATAATTATTATTAGTATTATATTAATATAATATAATATTATTAATAATAGTTATACTAATTATTTAATAATTATAATTTCATATCATTACCATATATATATATATTATTTAATCTTCGAAAACGCTTATCTAACGCCTTACGATAGAATTAATATGTTTTATTAATATGAATTAATATTTTAATATTAATATGTTAGACGACTCCGCAGATCGATGCGTGTTCGCACATCTTTTACGAAACCATGTTTAACAACCGCTCTCGAATAACCCGTTTAAAAATCAGAACCTAAAAAGAAGTCAGATGATAATACGTTTTACAATTATTTTGCAAAAAGATCAGCGAAAGTTGTTCTAGAATTTCGCGGTTTAAACTGGTATATCTCTTTAAATAATGCCGGCCACCGACATAATCTTTTTGCATTGTTTTATTGTATTTTCTTGTTACGCCATGTTCTTGTTCTTTGTAAAAATGTTCGAGGCAACCTCTTTCGTACCTTTTTTACTTCCAATTTCGCTATTATCTCAAAGAACGAGCTATTCGATAGCGCAAACACCGCCTACAGATAAACCACGATTGGCAAATATACATATAAAGGAAAATATAGGATAGAATGCAAGATAGATGTATGTATACATATCGAACTCCAGTGGTACTTGCCATAATTCGATCTTCTCGTGTCTAATTAATAACGCGGAACTTCGTCAAGCGGAACGAAACATACTTTTCTTCGTCCAGTCGATTTCGTGCCACCGATAACACGTCAAATTCTGTGACCGAATGTTGGACATACCGAGCATGTAGCAGTGCGATAGCATAGCAGATAAATTTTAATTCGATTGCGCGAAAGCTTCGACGATTCCGGTTATTTTACTCTACTCTTTTACTTCACGCTATTCTTAAATCATATTTTTCGAATGTTGTTTCAGCACATTTGTCCGCAGAAACTAAATGGATATGCGAAAACTATCGACGCTTACTTATTTATTGCTTACCAAGAACGTAAATTAATTCTCGGCACTTTTAAAAGCAGGGGCGGTATAACAGTTTTGCATAGTAAACAGTGTAATTTAATGAAACAGTGCAATTTTATAGAAGTAATAACATTTAACATTTTATGGTGTATAGTTTTCTAAAAATAAATCTCATAATTTTTTATACGTTCAATATTGATAATTTATGACATGCAAGTAACAGCAATCGCAGTTTTAATTTATTTATCGGCTTTCAATATTCGAAAGCTTATGAAAACGTTGAATTCTGCCTTTCTGATTCGGAAGGCATTTATATTTTCGTTATTAATAATAAACTATTCATTTTAGTGTTATGTTTAGATAAAGTTATCATTACTTTGATAAAAAATCGACGTACACTGTCGCTATTATGTCGCCTTAAATATTATTTATTAACACAATATTTGGCGTATAGTATTTTACCATGCGTAAAATTACTGTGCGACATTGCTGCGGCGTTTTGCCGAACTGCGTACCTTAACTTATCCAGCGCAATTCTTGACGAGCCCGTGCGAACGCGCTTAATCATAGCCAATGAGCGGAACTGGGCTCCGCGCACTCGTTGGCTGGACCGCCGCACGCCAGCCGAGCTCGCCTCTTATTGGTCAGTGTTTTTCGTTAATAGCTCGTAAACGAAGCCTCGGAGAAAATTTTCGCAAAGGAAAAAGCTGCTTCAAATGATCTGAGGAACCCTCCATTTCCGGATTGCGAGACATTTTTGAGACACCCTGTATATGCATACGTATGGTTTCTTTGCGTTACGCTTTTTAATGAAATTTGTGTCTTTAGAATAATAGATATCTAGCTCAAGTTGTTAATTTATTGGCAAAACAAATCCTTCATTGAAAAACCGCAATAATGCCCACACTTAACCTATAAATATTGGCCGCTAAAACCGACTAGATATTAAACGATAATTAATGCAACGAGACCGCGTGTCATTATGGAAATATGTATTTTCATCGATTAAGTTATAACATCAAGAACAAAGTAAAAATTTCTTATATTGACTATTTGGTTTCTAACGATTAATTGAAATTTCCTAGAATTGTGTTTTGTCCAGAAATGCGTCTATTAAATAATAATCTATTGAAACGAAATTGATAAGTAGAAGCTGACAAATACAGATAAAACAAGCATACTCGGTTATATTTCTGTTAAAAAAGATCCGCCGTTCGAGTTGTGTTAACACACAAGTTTTCTTTTATTTCACAAAATAAATGCCCCAGATACACAAATACCCGTTTAATTGTAATAGACGTTCGAATAAATACATTTATTTTATAAATTGTTACGAAGACAGTTTTATAGTCGCGCTCATTTCAAAATAAAAAAGATAGCTCTCCTCTCTCCTTGCACATTCCTTCGGGTAAAAATTCATCTATTTTGTGTTTTTAAATGAATCCTCGATACCAAATTTTCAAAATTTTGTGTCCACAGTTTTTTTCTCCTGGTTTTCAACACTTTCGTCTGATAACTCTCAGAAATCCGGAGATTTTGATATTTTCTCAACCTAGCTTGACCTTTGCGTCAACCGATTTTTAACGCATTTTTTAAACTTTCGTTACAAGCTCGAACAAACAATGTTTAAAAAACGAAACTTCCCTTTTGTTTGTTCGTTGTTCCAAGAGATAACAAAATTTTAAAAAATATTTTAGTCATTGAACGGTCGACTAGACCCTTTTTACATTTACAGAAAAATTCGAGTCGTTTGAAAAAGTTATCGCGTACTAAAAGGTGTACGAAACCTTTAGTCCGTCGTTGCACGAGCGTGCAAAGTTCGAAGAAAATCGACGATACCAAGACCTCGCAGCCTCTCCATGCAAGTTCCCGGCCAGGTAACCGGAACGTTCGAAAACAAAGGAAGATCAGCAGGACTAGAGTTTCGATCGAGCACACCTGTAACCGGCTGGGCCCATTATCGAGATGACAGCGCCGTCAGATGTCGCCTTCGTAAATTCCATGGATAACCGATCCGTAAAGTCATCCGCGCGTAAATTAGCCCGTTGAATGCCCCATAAATATCGAATTCCAATAAAGCAAACCTCTCGAGTACATAAAACAACGATAGGTTATTGTCAGCGGCGGGACCACTCGCAATTACGTCGTAAATTGTCACCGGTGGCGAATAAAATTTCTCGGGGGATCGGGTAGACCGAAAAGGTGAAAGTACCCTATTACGGAACACCGTTCAATTCCGACCCCTACTTGAAACAGTAGCGCGAGCAATCCGATAAAAACTGGAACGAGCATATGAAAGCGGATGTAACAAATCTACCAGTATTTTTGAACGTTGTCCCTTGCAAATTCACTCGCGCGAATAACTATTATGCGATAATTGTAATGTAATAAATATGTAATAAAATGTAACAATTAATAATTAATTATGTAATAATTTTTATCCGAATGCGGCCGTTTCCAAACAAGAACTGTACTGTTTCATATTGTGCACTTTAATTTTTGTTCTCTGTCCCGATTTATGGAACATAAAC